GGATGATCTTTATGGTCCCTTCCAGTCCAAAAATTTCTGTGATGCTATGATTCTGTGGTTCTGTGATTTGGGACCCTAATCCCATAAACGTACTCTTTGAATCTCGGGAAATCCTGACTAACTTTAAAGAGTGGTCCAGCTTTGCTATCTCTGTATTCACTTTTCAGTACCCTTTCAATGAAAAGAAGCAGTGGTCTGCTGTTGTGGATGGCGCTACAGTTTCTGCTGCTTCAGGGCCAGCTTTAGGTGAAGTTCATGTTTGGCTTAATGTGTTTTATGAAAATAAATCTGTCTTTTAAGCCTTTATAGTGTTCAGAAGAAAAATAGTTGCTGTAGGTTGATTATAAAAAAATAAATGGTTTTGTTACTGTTCATGCATAATTAAAGAAGGATCTTCCATGGCATTTGGAGTGGCTTTGGGATTTTTTTCCACAGCATTCCCTGTAGTAAAAGTTACTCAGAAAGTGCATAAGAACATGAAAAACAGAATCTGTCCATTTCTTTTGCCCCTCCAGAATTTTCCAATTTGTTCACTCCCAGAAAGTTAAATACGCAAAACTGAGTTGAACAAGTTACAGTCTGCTAATTTAGGTACAGCACCTTGGATTTCTTTCTTCCTGTTCTAGAGTTAAGGATGCCTGTTAAAAATCAGCGTGCAGTAAGCATCACTTCTAGTAGAGGATGGGGCAGAGGTGGTAAAACTCAGAAGCAGATGAATCCCTAGGAAGTTATTGCCTCCTACACTTCCATGTGGCAAGGAGCTCTTGTTGATGGTAGACAGGAAAGTAAATTTGAGAACCCTCTGATTTAAAATGTCAACGGTATCGAAGTTTTTGATGTGTTCAGAAGGGTTATATCACTTTGTTCTAGAAATCAGTCACTACGTGTGCCTAAAGATGTGCCAAATCTATATCAAGCTTGAGAGGTGATAAGTAATTTTATTGAAAGACTGGCAGTAGATTTATCCTTCCAAGAAAACAGTGCTCTTGAGAATCTTCGATACCAAAGAACATGTTTTCTGATAAAAAATTAAGTCATTTCCTGCTAAAGCAATACCCTTAACATTATTCGGGGGTTTTAAAATCCAGGTTGTAAATTGTACTTCTGTAAGGGATACCCATACATCCAGTCTGGTACATGGGAACTTTGTGGTGTAATTGGGATGTTTTTTTAAAGCGGTAGTTAATGATTTTTAACAGCGTAAGTTGAAATTGTGGATAACAGCGTTTTGGCTTCAAAGTAAAATCTACGTGTAATTTTCATTTGCTGCTGTCATAGGAGAAAACACATAAAAGGGTTGGAGCACTTCAAGGAGAACTAGATGGTATTTTCTTCTTGCAAGGCTCTGCCAAAGAGAGTCACCAAACCCAGGTGCTCAGAACTGGGATCATTGCAAAGCTTCTGGATATTTTAGGTGTGATTTCATTTAGCTTCTGCAGCAGAAACAGTTACAGTTCTTTGTATTTGGTGGACTAGAACCTTTTTGTGGGGTTTTGTTTTATTTAAAATTTGGTGCTAGTTTACACTGAAATTCTTATAAGCTTTGAGTTTCTTCATAATACATTTATAGTGGAAATGATGGAAATTACCAGAAGTATTTTGCATTGCCCCACTCACCGACTCTGGTGTATACTGCTTATAACATTTGATAACAATTATAACATTTTCTGAGTCATTTTTTGTACTGGTGGTTGCCTGCACCCAATTTCTCTGTTGCTTATGTCATTAAGCTAGTATTTCTTCTTTACCACTGAAACCAGTTACTTATATACATGGAAAGGGACTTAAACTTTGCAATTTAGCAATCGGTAAACAGTGCAGGAATGAGTAGTACGACGCTACAAAAATATTTCTCAGTCCTGACTAGCTTTGGGTTATATAATAGTAAAACAATTAAATGAGCAGTGGAACAAATACTAGTGAGACAAAAAATACCAGATGTGCAAAAGTAATGGCTTAGGTTTATGTTTAAAAATAAAAAGAGGTCGTTTGCAAATGCTGCCGAGTAGGAAGTTCAGGTGTTATTTTTAACTGGAAGAGTAGCTTTGAAACTGTCTGATGCTACCCTGTGCTGTGTGTAAGTATGCAGGAAAACGCAGGTGAATGTCTTAAACCGTGGAATTGTTGATGTGAAAGAACAGACAGGCATTCATCATTCACTGCTGGAGTTTATGGGGTTGTGGGAGATAAAGGAAGTGGCGTTATGGACACAGTGGCAGTGTAACTGCAGAAAAATAACCTGTGTGTTGCTCTTCCAGGTTTGAGTATGAGCACAGTTGAAGAAGAGTCTGACACAGTGACAGTAGAAACCGTGAACTCTGTGACTTTGACTCAGGACACTGAAGGGAACCTTATACTTCATTGCCCTCAAAATGGTATAGAATTGTATTGCATAGCTTTTTTTAAAATTTTTTTTTTCCCCCCATCAGTCCAACCATCATACTTTTCTGCGCCCACATTCTGTGAGCTATTTGGATTCTGCTTACTGTCCTGCAACACATTCTGTTCCAATTTAAAGAAGGATAAAGTGTCGAATTATGTGTAAATCGCAAAATCACAGTCATGTGCCCAAAAATGATAGAGCTGTTCTGATTTATTTCATTGGGAATGGGTTTTTAGAACCAAGCATGTACCCAAATTTATGTAGACTTAGGAGGTTTGTGTGCAATAGACTGTGGATGGGATTTACAGAGAAAATCTCACAGAAGATGTCCGTTGAAGAAAGCATGTGTGCTCTTATGGCCCATAACTTGCACCAGGTTCCTGGGCAGTAATAAAGCACCAAACCAACCTGTCACATTTGCTTCTTCCTATTTTTTTTTTTGGTCCACTTTGTTACTAAAACTTGGTCTAAAGCCTCACTTTGTTAACCGCAAGTAACCTGTGTATGTTTTTGTTTAGAAACTGATGAAGTAGACTCTGAAGACAGCACTGAACCTCCACACAAGCGGCTTTGCTTATCAGAGGATGATCAAAGCCTTGATGATTCCACTCCTTGCATTTCTGTTGTTGCAGTTCCAAGTAAGTTCTTTTATGTACTCCTGTAGCAGACACCTCTTTTGGTGAAGGTTAAAAGTAGACTCCTTAGATCACATTAAAATATTTTACATGTTTCATTTGTAAATTTCATTCATGTACTTAGGTATCATCTTTACTTCTCAGAGCCTTGGATGGTTTTGCAGCAATTGTTACCTATTCAGTACTGACAAACCCACCTTACATATAGAGGACTGCAGGTACAGGTGCATTGAATAAGTTGCAGGATAAGTGAATGAACAACAAACTAGATGCTGTCCTACTTCTGCAAAGAGCAGTCAGGTTTTTTTTAGTGATCAAACAGTATGGTTAGTATTTCTGTGTTTTTTAACACTGTGATCTGTGGTCTTTTTAAGCTAGAGATTGTTGTACAAAAGGAAGACTGAGTACTGAATTAGTCCTAAGGAAGTTGATTGAATATTAGATAGTTCAATATAATCTCCTGAAAGGAGGCAAAACCAGATCTAGCAAGTTAAAATACCAATTTATAATACTTGGAGTGGCTGTTTGTTTGTTGGAACTTAACAGGGACTCCTTAGAAGTGAAGGCATTATCCTGTCAAAGATGAAGGGAAACTGGGGAAAAAGAAGGCAGCTGAAAGATTTGAATGTTGTCCTTTAGTAACTGGAAAATATCAAAGATAGGGCTGGAAAGGAAGCATTCATACGGTACCAAATGTTTGCACCAAATATAACACCTTTTATTCATACGTTTCACATTAGTTCTTAGTTATATTCAATGTAAAACTGAAGGTTTCAAACCCCATATTTAAATTTTATGAAGAGGAACAGTTGATAATCCTCTTGATGATTTTACTGTGTTAACAAATAAATACCAAATAAGGCCTCTTTAAAATTTTTCCATGCAAAGGTAATAATTTGTAAAACCTGTAGCATGCATCCAAGATGTTGCAGGAGTAAGGTATACAACTGACTGACCCACTCTGAAGTTTCAGAAAATGATCAGAGCTTTGAGGTGACCATGACTGCTATGACTGAGGTAGCTGAAGATGAGATCAATGAAGGAACTGTTACTCAGATTCAGGTACAGTAAAACTTCAGAGTTGACCTACTTGATGTACATGTTTATTTAAATTGAGATTAAAAGGGGAAAAAGTAGCAGAAAGGGCTTCTTAAATGAATAAGGTTATTTTTAGTATGAAACTAGCGTATTTGAGCATGCATCCTGTTTGGAAAATGTTGTTCTATAAAAGTGCAGTTAAACCATTTTATATATGAAAGGTTATTTGTCGTGTAGCTTCCTGCCCAAAGAGCAATACATTGTGTGACACATGTGACCCTCCGCTGACAATTACATGCTCTGTGGTGATTCACATAGAAGACAAATCTATCTGTTATTTCTCTCCTTCTTGGATTAGAAATTAAGCCTAAATATGCTTTGTTTTGTCACCAGTCCTAACAGTCTCACACAGTTCTCGTCGTGGATGCACCATGTTTAAAAGTTCTAGCTTGGAGGTGCTGGACATAGTCCTCTTTCCACCAAAGCCAGCGAGGCTCTTCCTATTCACTGTTCATGAAACAGAATGAAGGATGATATCTAATTAATTCTTACAACATCTATACGTTAGGGTGCTAAATCTTACTCGGGTGTTCTAAGAAAGGTGAATGTACTTTTAATGCCGTATCTAAAACGTGGCACTTTCTGAGCAGTCAGCAAGGCAACTAGGTGTGCTGGTTTCATTTTCCTTCAGCTTATGCCCCCATGTTAAATGCAAGGTGATAGAAAGAACTTGAGGTTTTACTGGGGCGTTTCATATGGGTCTTTTCAAGATTCTTCAGAATGAACAGCTGGATGAAATCTCCCCAATGGGCAACGAAGAAGTGTCAGCTGTTAGTCAAGCCTGGTTCACAACTAAAGAGGATAAAGATTCGCTAACAAATAAAGGTAGGGCATTTCAGATGCAATTCTCCCACACTATAGAAATGTATGCTCTTCCAAATGTCCAGGTACACCAGGAAAATAGAGTCTGTGCTCAGGCTAATACATCTTCCAGGGAGTAGGACTTATTAGTCTGGCTACTGTGTTGTGATTCGTGTTGAACAGTTTCTGGAATGGAGTTGCTTCAGGAAGAACATGGGTTATGTAGATGAGAATATACTGAAGTACCGTTACTCCTAAACTGCCACCCCATTGGCATTCCTCCCTTCCAAAACATACCTGCACAACCATGCAGTAGTTGCTGAACTTCAGAGGGGTTGTTTGTTTGTTTGTTTTCTCAGAGGAAGTGCCTTTCTTAACCTAGAGAAACAACTTGGGGTGAAATGAAGATTTGTGGTCTCTCAATTTCCTCAGTCTCTCTCATTTTTCTTACCCTGACCTTACCTCTTCAGAGGAAAGAATAAATTAAAATCTCTTTCAGTCAGTTCCACGCAAACCCCTTTTTTGTTAGAAAACTTCAGGGGAAGAAAGTAATGGTTTTCTGTCGCAGAAGCAAATGATCTCTTTCCCAGTGAGCTCTACTCCAGAGAGCTGAGTATACTGCTGAGTCAGTGAAAAAATGTGGGTAGGCACACAGAACCTGGGTATTGGATATGGATAATTCACAGAAAGGGAACTGAGCAACTCTGTCAGCAACCATTTCACCTTCAGATCCCAAGTGTGCACTGACAGTTGCTTCTAACAGCCAGTAATTTCCTCACGTTTTTTCTGTGCTTCTTATTTATGAGATTTATGGGGCTTCAGAGCTACTCAGTGTTCGGTGCAAGGGCTGGGGCAGAGGTGGGATAGCAAAGAGATCCCTTTGTGTCACAGTGCTGACGCAGCTTGGTAGAAGCAGTGAGAAATCACGTTGCTGCAGTTGCTGTGCTCTAGGGTGAGAAGATGTACAGAGACTACAATCTTTTCAGTAGCTACTGGTAAGGGACTTTATTGGGAGCAGCACGTTGTCAGCTGTCACTGGACGAGTACATACTGGTGATTTGGGAGAGAAATGACTGGTTTCGTGTGACTTGGTGGCTTCGTGTTTGATGTGTGTCTTGTTAAATACATTGGAAACTTACTGCATTTGTAGCTGTCTTAAGACATATCAAATGACCATATAGTACAATTTACAGTTGTGGATGAACCGGGACACTGAATCTGGTGATTCTGATGAAGAGATTAATAATTTGAGGAAGACATTTCCAATGAAAGATGCTGAGAAAAATGTTTGAGAATCCATATTAGCTGAACCTTTCTTTTGGTCTCCATGTTTTCTCACAGAGACAGCTGTGGAGGAATCCCAGTATACATCTCCTTTTACAGTAGCTAGGAGTTTGACCTGTGTTGTGTGAGCTCATCATTTTACAGCACTCTCCACCAGATAATGCTTTCTTTGAACACCCATGGGCAGGTTATAATAACCTTTGCAAACACATGAAGTGCAAAATATACTTCCTTTCCTGAAATAGTTGGGTATTAATGGTTATTCCATGTAAAGAGTAGCAGTGTCCCTTTAAGTCAGTTCATATGCTTGGATAGAGGTGTGAATGACAGCTACGGTAGTAGATTATTGTTTTGTCTCTTCTGTAGCTTTGGAAGAGATTGAAGCCATCAGGGACAACGGAAGTGTTTTCTCTCATCAGTTCCAATGAAATTAGTAGTAATGCCTGTACTTTTCATTGTAATTGGATTTGAGTAAACAGTCTCTTTGGTGTGTTCTGCCTCTCAGCTCGGGTAATTAGCAGGCTGAGAAGGAAGTACCCTGATTTTTCCGAGCAGAGATGGGCAAGTAGCCAGCACACACCAGTACGTAAACTAGGTCACCACCATAATCTTAATTACAAGTGAACATTAATATTAAGTATGGTATGAACATGAGGAGGAAGAAAGAGGAATCTATATATATATAAATTTAGGGTAGGGATGTTTTAATGGTTTATTGACAGACCTCAGGTTTGAAATTTTCTCTCTGAGTAAAGTTGATTGGGTTCGCTTTTAAAGCCCAGCTGGCATTATAGTTAGTGAAGGCATGGGCAGAGGCAAAACATAATGTTCATTTCTATTGGTTTGCCACATTTATTTGGGAAATAAAACACTCACCATGAGTTTTTACCTTGACTGTGACCACTGGACATTATTCCTATTGCAAAAAACAGAGAGCAACCAGCGTGTAAGAACAGACTTTTTCCTCAGGCATTTGCCTGTGTGAAAACCACTCGCAGTAGGTATCACTACTCACATGTTGGGAAGTGATAAGGCATATAAGAGATCCCCACGTTGTTGCCAACTCCTCAAGTCATATTGTGAGTAACAGTCTAAGTCCCAGCATCTAGAATCGTTTGAGTGCATGGAAATTTCCGTTGTCATTTTTAAGACAGGAATTTTCTAATTGTGGCTGAAGAGAGAGACTGAAAATGTGACTTGACAGCACATAGAGGAATCCAGGTTTTTGAAGAGGGGTTTGACTCACGTTGTTTAAACATTGACAGTTACTGAGGATTGTTTATCAGTTCTGAAGTAACATCTGTTTAAAATTCATTCTCGTTAAAGTAGCTAAAATTACTACTCAACTTTTCTTTGTTAATTGCAATAATGAGGCTCATGTTTTTATGGTATTTTTGTTGTTGTTTTGCTGACTTTCGCTTCAGTAATTGGTTTGTCATTTCTATTTTCAGGCCATAAGTGGAAGCAAGGCATGTGGTCGAAGGAAGAGATTGACATTTTGATGAGTAACATTGAGCGTTATTTAAAGGTAGGCGTTAGAGTGTGTTATCTGCTGGTTGGCGTGGTGATGCAGCCCCTGCTGGAAACCAGCTTTCTTCAGTACTTCCCAGAATGTGCAATAAGTGATTGTAATCGGTTCGTAGCAGAAATGGTCATTCCCCTTTTGAAACACATAAGAAAATTGTATCCATACACAGGACTTAAGACTGTTGAATGTAACATCGCTTTTAGTTTGTGTACTGAATATAACCCATTTTTAAATTTCATGTCAGGGTGCTTAAGTGGTTTCATTTCTTCCTCTGAATATACGTGACTCATGAAATCTTTGATGAAGACAGAGGAAAAAAAATACGCTAGGAATAGAGATAATTTTCCTTACAAAGTGTTTAATACAATTTCCAGACTTCTTTGATGCCGTATGTGTATTTGTTTACTACACTAACAGGATGCCTGTATCGGCTTTCTTCACCTTAATACATTGTTGTCAGGGTTCGGTGTAAAAATAGGCATGTAGTTCACACGCTGACAGTGATAATTGCCCATAAGTCATACTGGTGCTAGGCCTACAGCTGAGAAGATTTGAGCTGAGCAATTACAGCTGAGATTACATAGCCTGGATATTACAGGTTCGCCGTCCTTCGTTTGGGAATCGAAAAAAACTCCGAATATAGTCTTCATTGGTATAAAAACCCCTCAGTATTAGTTGTAGAAACTGTGCCTACCCACACGTGTATTAGAATTTCTGCCACAAGATCATTCATCCATAATGTTATTTTTTAAATCTTCAGAAGCTTTTTTAAGATAGCTAAATAACTTTTTGGCTTACTGATAGCTCATTTGATTCATTATTTTCTCATTTGTCTGCTTTTTTGTCCTCCTTCAAATAATTGAAATACAGTGATTTTTAGTTTAAACTGAACTTAAACTAAAGCTTTCGTTTTATACTTAACTCCAGTGTTTTTTTTATCAAATTTGCTTTTAGTTTCCATCAGAACAGGAAGAGTAGTCGAACTGAAAAAAATTGCTTTCAGATAAAGAATATCTAAAATTATGTCATAAATTGATATGGTGCTTTCTAACAACCTTGCAGTGTATAACCCCAGCAGAATTCCACCAGGCTATATTCCCCATGATGTTCTAAATGACCCTTCAGTTTTGATGTTAAAATATACATTGGGCAGATTTTTTTTTTAAATGTAGATGGAAGTTAAAGCTTCAATGTCTGCCTGGACATCAGTGTAAAAAGACCCTAGTGTTCAAGGGTTTGTATTTGAGGTAGCTAGTTCATAAATATTCCCTTTAACTTTTGGACTGTAGTATTTGAAATACATAAAAAGTTGCATAATAGTAGGCTAGGCTTCAGTTCTTAAGCATTCTACTTCTTGATTTCTAGGAGACTTTATCTAAGGTGTTTTGTGTATGTTTTTTAAATGCTTTCTTTTAGGCCCGTGGAATAAAAGATGCCACTGAAATTATATTTGAAATGTCAAAAGATGAAAGGAAAGATTTCTACAGGACAATAGCTTGGGGTCTGAATCGGCCTCTCTTTGCTGTCTATAGAAGAGTTCTTCGTATGTATGATGACAGAAACCACGTTGGAAAGTATGAAAACCTCTAATGCTGCATGGTTTTATTGGTATGAGTAGGGTCATGTATTTAATGTTTAACATGTTGTATGTGAGACAGAAGATTTTGGACAAACACATCTACTTCTTTCTAATCATAAGTGACCTCTGCTGAATTCTGGTAGTTCAGCTTTGACAATAGTTGTGTTAAACTGATGGTATCCAGGACTTTAGGGGGGGGGGGGAAAAGAACCAAAGCAAAAACAAACAAGAAAAGAGAGACCAAAACACCAAAACCAAACAGAGGTGCAGAGAGCATTCAGATACGGTTGTAAGACTTGGATACAAGCGCAGATCTGCTGAGTTGTGGTTTCTATGATTGTGACCTTGAGCTAGTTGAGCTTCATCCCTGTGCCATGGTTTGCCCATCTGTGAAGCAGTGGGTGCGATGCCATCCAGAAGTGCTGACAAAGTTGTTAGATTTTAGTTTTCAAAGGTAGTTGAAAATTAAAAATGCAATCTCAATGCTGATTTTTTTAATGGCAAGTCAGCCTTACGGCGAGTGTGAACTGAGACAGGAAGTTAAAAATAGCTATTTATTGAGAGACTAATACACAAAATTTGAATTCTCTTCTTAGTAGTAAGATCACTGAGAATGAGGAGTTTTGGTGGCAAGCAAGAGGAATGTTAGACCACATAACCTTAGAAACGCACCAATGTGGAAAATTGCATTTGTTCTTCATGTTCTTTCAAAGCTTTTAGTCAGATTGTTTCTTAGAACTGAAATTCCTTTCTCTCTTGTAACTAGATGTGTACTATGTGGTTACTAAAGGAAAAATATTTATGCTGTATGTTTTCTGTTTAAAATGATGCCTTTTTATTTACCTGTTGCTTAGGTATACTCCTGAGGAAATTGAAAAGCTCAAAGAGTAAGTCTTTTTTGCTAACAAGATCATACTACCTTGTTTTATATTTAGTAACTTGGGTAGTTTTTACAGGTTTTGTGACGTGAAATCAATCAAAAGTTACGAGTAAATTAGACTGCTCCACCTCTGTCAGAAAGTAGTAGTCACTGAATTAATCTGAAGAGAAATGCAACTGCATTTGGATTATTTTTTAATATATATATTATTTATTATATTATTTACTATGTATCATCTTTATTATTTATATATTGCTTTATATGTGTATTCAGGACGTACGCAGTATGCAACAAAGTTCTAAAGCAACCCTTCTGTTGAAACTAGTGATGTTTCCAGTTTTTACAAGCACAGTCAATGTTTGCAGTTACGTTTCTGAAAAACAGAAATTCCCTTTGTTTAGGAAACCTGAGCAATGGCTATTCCTAAAGAAAATGGCAGGTCCAGGGTAGGACCTCCCCTATGAAGTATTGGGGAGATACATAAATTGTCAGTAAGGCTTTTTGATCTTGACTGTGAACCTGATAGATCAAGGAGGAGGGGCTGCAGACTTTATCTGCTCCTGCAGCTTTCCAGGGTTGTGTAATTTGATAAACAACAGGCTGAACTGAAGTAAGGAAGGGGAGTATATTTCATTGTGCTGATGGATATGTTTGGATCAATTTAGGTGGTTTGGGTCTTTCACAAGGTGCTTGTGGTTCCAGATGTGTCAAAAGGAGTCATGGCTCAGCATGTTAAGCAGCCTGTCGTCGTGTGTGGGAGGAAAATGATAGTTAAAATTACAAACATGATTTTGCAGTGTTTTGCCTCATTTAAGTTGTAGGATGCCTGGGTTTCCATTCGACATTATTTACAATTCTCAAGAGATCTCCATACCACCTGAAAATCCTTGAGGAACCTCTGTAGAGTGGATGTTGGCTGTTTATCTAAACATTCATGTGGTATTTAACACAGTAATTAAGCATCACAGCATTCCTGTAACACAGTTAGACATTAAATATTTTAGAAGTGAGTATCCTGTGGCTTAGCTGGCCTAAAAGGCTTCTAGAAACACATACTAAAATCAGCAGTGATGATAGGAAATATGTTAACGTTGTAGCATCAAAGTGACTCCCCATTCTGTCTTTAAGCCTGTAAACTGCACATTTATCCTGGTTTTGTTGGAGCGAATTTGAAACTTTGCTAATCTGTTAACTGGATGTAGTGCTAACGAGCATGTTTGTATTTAGGCTGAGAATAAAGCATGGTAACGATTGGGCCACAATAGGAGCTGCGCTGGGGAGAAGTGCTTCCTCAGTAAAAGATCGATGCAGATTGATGAAGGATACCTGCAACACAGGTGAGGTAAACACTGGTGCCAGTAATGGATATTCTAGTTAAAACTCTGTCACCTTTGCCTTTGTCAGTGGTGTTTTCAGAGATGTGCAGCTCTGAGCCCAAGAATTTAACAATGTGAAATCCAGGGACATTTTAGGCCTTATTTGGTGTAGGTTTCTCCAGTTTTGCTTCTTAAGTATGAGAACATTCAGTTTAGCAGTCCATTATATCCATCCTACTTTTATGCCTCTGGAGCTTATTTTATTGAGAGGGATTAAAAGGTACTTTCCCTTGTGTTTATAAACACGCACTGTATTTGGTGTCAGTTCAGAGACAGATGCACTCTAGAAAGTGAAGTATTGTTTGCTTTGTAGCGTATATATTCAAACAGAAGGAAAATTTGATCAGACCTCATGTAATTGCTGTCTACTAAATGACTGCACAGTTAATTTACTTCAACTAGTACAATTCAGGTAGCTTGGACCAGTTTGGCTTGGTTAGTATTTTGGTAAGTTCTTTATGGCTTCATTCATGTGGGAGAGAAGGAGCGGGGAGAGGAGAGGAGAGGACTTGGCAGCAAAACGATGAAATTACTCATTTAAAAACACAGAATGGTTTGGGTTGGAAGGGACCTTAAGGATGACCTAGTCCAACCCCCTGCCATGGGCAGGGACACCTTCCACTAGACCAGGTTGCTCCAAGCCTCATCCAGCCTGGCCTTGAACGCTTTTTGTTAACTCTTTTAACATTAGTTCATCGAATGGATAGAATATAACTATTCATACTAACCATTTATCTCTTCCTCGCAAGTCAGTATTTGCATCTGGAATAGTGCTGGGCAGTGAAGATAAATGTCTGGTGACACGTTACGGAACAGCACAGAGGGCATCTGCTGTTGGTGAAGTTGGAGGGCTTTTCTCTCTTTCAGGAAAGTGGACGGAGAAAGAAGAAAAAAGGCTGGCAGAAGTAGTGCATGAGCTGACAAGCACAGAACCAGGTGACATTGTCACACAAGGTGTATCGTGGGCTGCCGTAGCAGAACGGGTCGGGACACGCTCTGAAAAGCAATGCCGCTCTAAATGGCTCAACTATCTCAACTGGAAACAAAGTGGGGGCACTGAGTGGACCAAGGAAGATGAAATAAATCTGATCTTGAGGTTTGTCACTTTTGTTACTTTTAAAGATTTGTAATACGTGACACTAGCAGGATTCCCTTGGGGTCCCTTTTGCTGGTTTCTTAGACACTAAAAACTCTAGAACCCTCCAAAAATCACTGCTGTGTTTACAGTTCCCAGAGATTTATTATTGAACATATTTTTTGTTCTTTGTTTTTTTAGTGAATGTTAGTGTTCGTGAAAGGTGTCAGATTGAAAACCCTGGAGACTGAAGTCTTCTTTATTCCACAGAACAGGTACAGCACAGGCAGCGACCGTGCAAGCTTCCCACACGTTGCCCCACCAATGCGCTTTAACCCTTAACTGGAGGGTAGTACAGTCTCCCTGCCCCTTCAGTCCTTGGCCTCTCTGCTGAGATGACCAACAAGGGTCACGTGTGGTGGTGGTTTCTGTGATGTGGACATCTTGTCTACAAGGAACTAAACCGAGACTGCAAATTAATTTCATGTAGGCCACCAAACACTGATTGGATATCCGCATCTTTGGCTACATTTGAACTGGCAACCTGGTAGTAACTTTGGAAATCTTTTGCTCTCTCCAGTCCTCCTCCCATTTTGAATGCCTTTAACTCAGGCTTGTTAGCCAGTGGATTTTTATGGGTTGATAGTTCTGGGTGGGAATAAAAAGCCAAGACATACAGGGAATCTAAGCATTATTTACAGAGCAGTATTTACTAATTTACTGAGGCTGTTTGACTTGAACTCAGAATGAGGAACCCAATTCCATATTTCTGAATATGCTGGTTGTCTGGTTATAATTCTTAATATTTCTGTGCCATGGTATCTGTTTTGGACTGTCCAGATATCCTTAACTCATCCAACACGGTGGTTTGGGTGTTTAGGATAGCTTTTTTCTTTTTTCACTCATTGGGGTTTTTTGGGGGTGGGGTGCAAGGTTTTTTAGCTAGCAAGAGGATTCAGTGCTTTGTGAAGAGAACTTAATTCCTAACTCTCACAGAAATCTTTTGCCTCTCACTGTTGACCTCTCTTTCATATGCTTCAGGTACAGAAGAGCTGGAGGCAATTCAGAGATATGTGTAGTATTGAGAGAGTTTTGGGTACAATCCAGTATGTGCATAACATCTGCCAAAATTACGTGAAGACTGGCCCTTAACCTGGAGAGCCTGATGGGATTGATTTATGAGGAACTGTTTAATACTGTAGTTAACTTCATCTGCTTTGGCTAAGAAGCATCTGAGAGGAGGCAAAAGTCTATGTTAAGTCCTGTGTTAAGGACAGATGCGTGTTACTTAGGAGGAAACAGAAGTAAATATCATAACATGAAATTAATTAAGTAAAAGTTCTGAGTGGATCTCAGTATTTCCTGCCTTGGAGATGTGTTGGGGGAATGGTTTTCCAAAGAGAAAAGATGCAAGTACCATCATTTGGAATGCTTCACAATAATCTGATCAGAGCCCTAATGTGTATGTAAATAAGGAGGGTAATCCTGCATGGCAAGGAGATGGACTGGATCACCTAACAGGTCTAGTCCATCTTCTGTTGTTTATGATTCTGCTTGACCTCTGGCAGCGTGGAGCCTCGGAAGCCTGTGTCGATTCATGAGCTCTGGTGGACTATTCACTAGCATGCCATTTTGCTGCTGTTACGTGTGACAAGACCGGAGATCTGCAACACCCCTTCCAGTCTGGAGGGTAGTTTCTAACAGGTAAATATTTTCTGTATCCTGCCAGGATAGCGGAACTTGAAGTTTCTGATGAAAATGACATCAATTGGGATTTACTAGCTGAAGGATGGAGTAGTGTCCGCTCACCACAGTGGCTTCGGAGTAAATGGTGGACCATTAAAAGACAGATTGCAAACCACAAAGATGTTTCATTCCCTGGTAATGTACTACTTGCACACTTCTCTTCTGAAAGCTCCTTTCACAAATGTCAAAGGAATAAGGCTGCACTTTGTTGCCTACTTGCAGCATTGCTGGCCAAAGGGGCAGTTGATCTTTCCTTGGAAGTTACTGTCCCCTCGGATCTGCTGACTGAATTGCTTCTACAAGCAATCCCTGAGTGTTTCAGTTGAAACAAGCCAAGCTGGTGGACGCAGTTGAAGAGTAGGTTTTGCCCCTCGCTTTGGTTAAAGTGAGAGCGGGTATATAAGCAGCTCAGCTGGCAGATCGCAGGTGGTGATGGTCGTTGGTGTGGAGGGCAGTGACCTCTTCAGGTAGAAGAGGGATATGTATCTGCAGCCTGACAGTATCACCTCGGTTAGAGCTGTTACCTTTAAGATGGTAAAAAGTAATCTGTGTGAGGTGCTGAACCTTAGCTGTAGACAGAACATGGATCTACTACTAGCTGCACAGCGAGGAGGAAAGGGGAGGAATCAGGTGTATAAAGCTCCACAAATATGGCTCTCATAGCTCTCAGTCAGAGAAACTGGTGCCTGAGCCAAAGGATATTTCAGTCTCCATGACCTTCAGTCCTCATTTTCTCTGTCTTGGGGAGAGGAAAAAATACCAGATTGGTCGTGTCATAATGGAAGGTGTAATGTAATGGACACTTTTGCTGTGCTTGTCAGCATAGTTGTATATTAGTCATGCCTGGAGGCTGCAGTTGAGAGGGTAGCCCTGTAATGCTTAATATGGTGTAAGCCGTAATATGTTAATATTGTGTTAATAGACAGTTGTTGCATCAAATAATTGATAGTTTAAATACACCACTGCATCAACAGGATCCACTTTTTTTAGACAAAATGTCATGGTGTCAAGAGTGGGAGATGTTTAGTATTTCCCCATATTGAGTGCTAGAAAAGCAGAGCCTCACCGTTTGTAACCTTATGTAAGTCAACTGCTCCCCCAGTGTGACCAGAGTGATCATAGGGAAGAAAGGTAGGCAGTTCTGTTGGAGCAGTGGGCCACTTCACACACAAAGAATTGCAGTGTAGGCATGGAGAGATCAATGTGTCTCTTGCTTCCTATTTCCAGTGGCACTTCTGTGTCAAAGTCTTGAACAAATCTGCTTCCATGTTTTGTATCATTGAAGGGTTTATTTCTGATAGCAGCATTACACAAGTAGTGACACTGGCACTGGATTGTAGCTTGGGGATGAACCACACGTTTTTAGAGAGGTCCAACATTTTATGAGCTCTTCTATTTTTTTCCCAAGCGTCCTAAAATGTCTGCATTCCTTGAAAAAATCAGGTTCGTTTCAGTAGTTGACTCTAAATGTGTTTTATGTATGTGCTAAATATTTAGTTGATGTATCTCTAAATTGTTTAGGTTCCAAATTCAGAAGGATTTTGGGTACTTTTTTCATCTTGGATAAATCTCACATGCAGCATTTCCAGTGTGCTTCTCCAACATGCTTTAGCATGAGTATTCTTTCTCTCAGTGCTGATAAAGGGTCTTAAACAACTCCATGAGAACCAAAAAAACAATCCAGGGCACCAGCTTTTGGAGAACAAATCTGGAAGTGGATTACCCAACGCTAATTCCGGTTCGGGAGTTCAGCACGTGCAGATTCGAGTGGCTCGCTTAGAGGAGAACGCAGGCAACGCACCAAGCCCCGTGGCAGCTTTGCAGATTCCAGTCCAGATTACACATGTCTGTAAGTAGCTGAAACGAACAACTCCCTGTCCTCTAGTGAAACCTGAAGTTTTCTTACGTTACGATGGTGAAGGAGAGAGGGGACACATCTTAATGGATTTTAGTAGTTGTGCTTTGCTCTTGCCGTAACTTAAGACTAAGGATTCCTGCATTGTATCTGCCCATTTCTAACTTCCTTAGGCAAACGTAGGTGTCACTGTGACAGTAGTACCAAGAAGCTGCAGTCGGAGTGCCTGCACATAGGGGTTGTGAATGTCTGTCTGTGCATGCACACAAGAGCTTGCCATGTAAGGCCTTTGTAAAGGCTGATAATGGAGATGCGGTACATACGTTTATTCCTTAAGTTTCTTCTGGTGGGTCTTGTCCAGGGCAATGAACATCATGGCCAAGATCGCCTTTTACAAAACATACACACTGCTGGGGCTAAGTTCTGATGAAGGACACTAAACTGGAAGGTATATAATGGTTTTTTTTCTAGTCCTGCTCTGTATTATGCCATTATTTCTGGGCACAAACACTCTGGAAAGCATTAGTTGCCAAATCACACTGATGATGAGCTGATGATCTGTTTAACCACTTTTATTTTTTTTAAGTTGGTGCTTCCCATCCTCTGAAGGATGAACTTTGCTCATTATCAAACAATTATTACCAGGTCTACTTCGATTGTAGTGATTATTACTTGGTTTTGTTACTAATCTTATTAAGCAACGACTGTCACTCCAATCGAATCACCCCATATCACAGAATCACAGAATGGTTTGGGTTGGAAGGGACCTTAAAGACCATCCAGTTCCAACCCCCCTGCCATGGGCAGGGACACCTTCCACTAGACCAGGTTGCTCCAAGCCTCATCCAGCCTGGCCTTGAACACTTCCAGGGATGGGGCATCCACAGCTTCTCTGGGCAACCTGTCCCAGTGCCTCACCACCCTGTTATCTCCATTGTCTGCTGTTTTGCAGTGTTTGTCATTTGTGAATTTTGTTAGTCCTTTCTGAACATAATCCTGAACAGTTACTTCGTGATGTCAGTTGTCCCTGTCTGTCTAACAAGCCTTTTTCCTCATTTTAGTCTGCTTTCTTGAAGAATTTACGTTTGTGTGATTGAAGTGAACTTTGTATTGTGTCTTTCCCAATCCCGTGAGAGCTGAACCTGTTAGCCAATTTCAGCTGCACTTGATAGAAGGCTTATGGTTTCAAGGGGTAATTCCTGTAAGCTTTATGAACTTAACTGTCTAGGTAATAGACAGCCCACACTTTACAGCTGTCTGCTCCTAGATGCCAGGATATCTGCAGTAGGAAACCTTGACCATGCCACTACAACAATAAAAGCTTCAAAATCAGAAATTGGTGTCTTAAGAGAGCAAAATAATTATACTTTGAAGCCACAGAGTCTGAGATGGCCAGGTTGCTAGTGCTTGGAGCACTGCTGTCGTCAATGTAGGTCTTCTGCTCTTTCAGTATTTATGGAGTGGATAATCCCAGGCAAAGTATTCATTTGCCTCCAGCATCCTGGAACTCTCTTATTTTAAGAATAAGTAAAAATCTTAATTATGGTTCTAAATAGGGTTTTTTATGTCTTTGAAAGCTTTGGGTGCAAGCTGTTTGGACCTGGTGATCTTGAAATGCCTGATACGTAAACTGTTTTCAGTGCTTCTCTTAATGACTTCTGGAATTAATGGAGATAATTGCATAAATAATTACATGCTTGTAGTAAGAATACTTACAGCTTTTACACACTGCAATCATCACACACAGGGGAGGCAAATATCTTGGGGACCATCTGATGTTTCCTCAGTGGAGGGCAGAAAAGTTTAAAAATACAAAAACCACAAAGGGTCTGTGGGAAACACGGCAATATTAAGCCTGATACCAGTTTAAAGCAAGTAATACATGATCCAAAGGATATTGTTACACCAGAACCTCTTCAAATCTCATGACAAAAAGTAATTAGATCGTGTCAGATATTTGTCTGCTCTTTATCCCTGGCACTAAAGCCATACTTTCTTTTTTTTTTGCTCTTTGGGATTGTAGATTGCCCTCTTTAGATAGCATTGTATCTTGGGTACCAATTAGAGAACCTTGTCATTAGGATTGCAGCCAGTTTTCTTTTTCTTATTACTGGAATTAATAGTACCCTGCTGTGTAGCAATTACAGTGTGTTATGCTCTCTGCAGGGCTGAAGCATTTTGGTTTACATACTTTCTTTTTCAGTTTTTTCTTCCTTTTGCAGCCTCAACCGATTCCCCTGCTGCTACTGTTGACTCTGAGACAATAACACTGAACAGCGGAACACTGCAGACCTTTGAGATTCTTCCAGTAAGTAACAGAGAACAGATATTTGTTACTGTGCTTTTTCTTTTAAATACACTATACTTCCTAGGCTGTGGAACTGTGAATTTCTCAAAAAAAAAAATTTCTCAAGCAGAAAGAGGAGTTAAGAGAGCTGAAACTTTAAAAAGTTCAAGGTTTTTGTTTTGGTTTTTTTTTTTCCAAAAGTTCAAATACACAAAAGTATATTTTAAGGGTGTAATTCATTAGGGCTGTGGAGTAAAATGTGAATTACAGATTCACAGAGTGGCAGGGATCAAAAGGGACCACTAGAGATCATCCAGTCCAACCCCCCTGCCAGAGCAGGATCACCTAGAGTAGATCCCACAGGAACAAGTCCAGGCAGCTTTGGAAAGTCTCCAGAGAAGGAGACTCCCCCACCTCTCTGGGCAGCCTGTTCCACGCTCTGTCACCCTCACAGATGACACCTCAGAGTGTTTCCTCAAGGTCAGGCTGAACCTTCTGTTTTCCAGTTTATGGCCATTGCCCCTAGTCCTGTCACTGGACACCACTGAGAAGAGCCTGGCCCCATCCTCCTGACACCCACCCTTTAGATATTGATAAGCATTGATAAGATCACCCTCAGCCTCCTCCTCTCCAAGCTAAACAGACACAGCTCTCTCAGCCTTTCCTCATATGGAAGGTGCTCCAGGCCCTTCATGATCTTAGTGGCCCTGCGCTGGACTCTTTCCAGTAGTTTCTTGTCCTTTCTGAGCTGAGGAGCCCAGAACTGGACACACTACTCCAGGTGAGGCCTCACCAGCGTAGAGTAGAGGCTGAGGGTAACTTCCTTTGACCCGCTGGCCACGCTCTTAACACACCCCCGGATACCATTGGTGGTCTTGCCTTAATGCTATGAAGGTTTACTTTGTACTTGTTTTTTTATTGAAATCTGACATAACGGGGCCAGAGGAAGCTCCCAGCAAGTGCAGATTCTCTCAGTTCCACTGTACTGTAATTTGAAGCACAGTTTCTCTTTCATCCCAACGTTCTCAGCTGCTCTTGTACAGCATAATACAGTCCTGTGCAACACTCAGCCTTAATACTGGTCTCGGGAGCCTGAGGCTGGAGTTTCTCCTAACGGAGGTCAGTACAGCAATTAGTGCCATAGGGATTGGATTTTGTGGTTGGTTTGTTGTCCGGGGGAGTTACAGTTAGACTAGTTCATGTAAATAACCGTGCTCTGAGGGCTGAGTGTGGTGCAGGAAGGTGGTGTGTTTGCCTGTTAAACTTGTGTTGTCTTTCACAGTCTTTCCATCTCCAGCCGACTGGGACACCAGGTACATACTTACTACAGACAAGCTCAAGCCAAGGCCTTCCCTTAACGCTGACGACAAGTCCTACCATGACCTTAACAGCTGCTGCTGCTGCTCCAGCCTCCCCAGAACAGATCATAGTCCATGCCTTATCCGTATGTATTTTCAGCGGTGAAAAGACTGGAGTTTGAGCAATGGGGAGGATAATAATGCAGGCCACTTTATGTGCATGTTAAATTTGTAAATCAGTTCTTAAGTCATAACAGCATTACTTTGCTTAAAATACTGAGTGAGAATTTAGTTGTCTGCACTGTTTGTTAAAAAACAACTTCAAGTTGGGTGAAAACAGCTTAGTAAGCATCTTCGTCCCTACTGTGGCTGAGCACGGTGTCTCCATCTAGTGGCTCATCCCACGGAAACACCGTGACTCAAAGGAATATTGGTGTTGACAGAACTGGTGGTGTAGTGACAGGTAATCCTGTATAGAGGGAGGGAAGGGGAAGAAAAATGGAGATTGAATAACAAAAGTGATGCATAATTCAGGGGAAAAAAACCCTGATCTTTCAAATCTGCCTGAACAGCTGCCTCTGGTTTGTGTTACATATTGTGAATTGTGTGACAGTTGACACAAAATTCCGTCTATGAATTCTTCATTTAAGGCCAGGAAAGGTCAGCAGATGATCTGGGCTGACATACTATCTATGTAAAACTCTAAATTAATGAGTTCTTTGAATCCTTTTGCTTTTATTTGCTGAATGATTTGAAGATCCTTGAAGGAAAGTCTCTGATGGTTTTTGTGTCTCTTTTTTGCAAATGCTGCTTGCAGCCAGAGCACTTGTTAAATACAAGTGACAACGTCACAGTGCAGTGCCACACGCCGAGTGTCATAATCCGCACCGTGGCTGCTGAAGATATCTCCTCCTCTGTCACCCAGGCAGAACTTACCGTCGATTCAGACATTCAGTCAGCTGACCTGACAGATCCTCCTGATTCCCTAGAAACAAATACTTTCCCAGCTGAGATCCATCAGTCCAAGCTAAGTGAGGAGGAGCAGGCAGCCTACAATGAGGATGATGCCTCCAAATTCAGCAGCAGGAGTAGTAGTGAACTGATGGATGGAGTTATGGTAAGAACCGAGGAAGAGATTTCAGATGCCAGCCTGAAACAGGAAGAGGATTCTCACTCTGATTTACCCAGCACTTATGTTACTGAGGTAAGGGAGTGCATGATGCGTGGTATTTTCCCCATTTCTGCATGGAGAATGGTTTCATAGCATCTCTGACTTTTATGTTAAGCCATTTGTATGGAATATGTCAGTAATTTCATGTATATCGTACTTGGAAGAGCATTTTGTTCAGTTCCCCTATCCTCCAGCTTCATTAGTATGAGTGTGAAAGTGATAGCATTTAATTTGGAACCTGTATTGGCTTATGTTTGACTTCGTCTGGAGCACTGAGAATGGAGAATGCGGAGGTGATTG